TGTGCATAAGGTTGCTGTAAGTCGGTACCGACTTGATGGGACCTAACAACAACAACAACAACAACAACAAAATAGTGTTGCTATGAGCTTGAACTGTCTGAGGGCAAGGATGAGTCTTTGAAGAAGTATGGCTTCTGCCCTATGCAAAGCTGATTTCTGCCAGTACCTTTGAGTTCAAATGTAGGAAGGAATATGCCATTTGTTGTTGTTGTTAAGTGCCGTCAAGTCAGTTACGACTCATAGTGATCCTTATAGGGTTTCCAAGGAGCGGTTGGTGAGGTTGAACTGCTGACCTTGTAGTTCAAACCGACCTTGTAGTTCAATGCGTTAACCCACAGCGCCACACCAGGACTCCATTAGGGGACGAGAAAGAGCTGAATGGTGTCTATAGGATGAGCGTGTGGAGCCGAAGGGCCACCATGGAGGAAGGCACTGGGAAACAAGGGAGGCAGCTGATGGTGGCCCAGAGCTGGAGACATGGAAGGAAATGTGAGAAATTCAGCGGCCCCAGCTCAACCTGGAGGTCAGTTTGAACTACCAGGTCGGCAGTTCAAACTTACCAGCTGCTCCTCGGAAACCCTATATAGGGTCTACCACTCTGTTGGTGGTGGTGGTTATGTGCCGTGGAGTCGGTTCTGACTCATAGCGACCTTGTACATGGTTTCCGAGGCTGTAAATCTTTACAGGAGCAGAAAGCCTCATCTTTCTCCCGTGGAGCAGCTGGTAGTTTCGAACCGCTAACCTTGCGATTCGCAGCCTGATTCGTAACCACTATGCTACCAGAGCTCCTTATCACTCTGGTAGCGTAGTGGTTATGAATCGGGCTGCTAATCTCAAGGTCAGCAGTTTGAGACTACCAGCAATTCCGCGGTAGTAAGATCTTCTCCTGTGAAGATTTACAGCCTTGGAAATCCAATGAAGGGTGGCTATGAGTTGGAACTGACTCCACGGGACATTACCACCATGAGTCAGAACCGACTCATGAAACTTGAGAAATAACATGTTTCATGTGTGATTTCATGGCCAAATGGTTAACCCCTCTCATGACTTCTGAACCCTTCAGAAAAAGGTTTGTCTCCTAATGCTTATACTGTCTTAGAAAGGGGAAGGGTACATCAAGGACGAAGCTCTGTGCTGCAATTTGAAGGTGGAGGAGTAAGAACAATTCAGCAGAGGCAGCTAGGGGTATCCATGAGAACATAAACTCTTCTGGGATTTTGCATTCATATTAGATAGTATTCCACACTTCTACAAGGTATAGAATACAAGGCTCACAGTAGACTTTTCGGCTCTCTTCATATATAACGATTGGCTATTTGAATGTTCACTGTTAGAGTGGATAAATTATGGTACATTCGTGTAATGATACATTTATATGGTCCTATCAGGGACTCCTGGTATGGTGCTATAATCAGCATTAGACTATGAACCAAAGGTTCGCAGTTCAAACTTACCAGCTACTCTTCAGAAACCCTATACAGGTTCATTATAAGTTGGAACTGACCTGATGGCACTTTAACAATTGGGGAGTCTTAGTATAGCAATGTGGGTTAATGCATTGGACTGCAAGGTCGGGTTGCACTGCAAAGTCAGTAGTTGAAGTTCACCAGCTGCTCCTTGAAAATGCTATACAGGGTTGCTACAGGTTGGAACCAACTCGACAGCACTTAACAATCAGGCACATAGACCCTTGTTTTGGTTGTCATTTTATGGATTAAGTGACCTACTGTGAAGTTGTCTGGCTGGGACCACCAAAATCACAATGGGAAAAAAGCTCACTCAGGGAATGTGTGCTTCTAAGCCTGTAGATTACATAATGACCAAAACCCAAACTCACTGCTGGTGCCCAGCAGATCAAGCTGTCTGACTGGTGCCAGGCTGGTAGGTTTCTGTCCCACTGTGCTTGCTGTCAATGCACGAAATGATGAGTGTTGGGGTTACTTTTTGGGACACACTGGCAGTTGTCCACTCAGTCCTGCAGAGTAGTCTTTAGATGCGACACTGGAATTCTGTGAGACATCTCACTACTGCTTGTAGGGCTCAGAGGTAGCTATCCCTGGCTCAGAGTAGATGACACAAGGCAGAAAGATCTTTCTTCTGACAGCATAAATGCTCACCCTGTCTCAACCCTGCTGCATCCTAACAGTGCCCACAGAGGTAAGTTTTTATGCATACAGTGGTCAGTAAGAACAAATCCAAGGGCAAAGGCAGAATTTTTTATTGGACTTGGCTTTGACAAATACTGGTAACACTCCGCAGACACTAATACAAACAGATCATAAACAAACAGTCCTTGCCCGCAGTCAGCGAAGTTCGGAAAAAACATGTATAAAAGTGAAAACACAGATTCAGCTTTTATATGCTTTTCCACACTAACAACGGCTTCCGTGTTTCCTTTACAATTCTTTTTGTGCTTTCCATTTAGTCAGAGTTAAAAAGGACAATACATTTGTTAAGTTAGATGCCAAATTGTACAAAACTGACCACATCTATTTGGATGTTATCATTTTACAAAACACTTAGTAATTTAAGATCACCAGCAGTACTGAATTATTTCCTTCATAAGAGTTCTAAGTACCCCTGGCAATTTTACCTAAGAAAAGAACATGCATCAAATAGGAAATTTAGTGTTCTCAATACGTTTTCTTTATGCGATATTATTTCATATTGTGTGCATGTTATGAGAATGAAAAAATTTCTCCCTTTGTTGCCAAAATGTAAGCACTGATAAAATAAGCCACAGAAAACCTATTCACCTTACTCACAAAATGGAGTAGGTGAAGACAGTGAAGGGCTAATAGAATTCAAGACACAGTCATCCTGGATAAAATTTCACAGGCACAGTTTTGAAAGGAGGTGTGTACTCATAGGACATTCCCACTATACCTCAGAGCAGACACTGATGCTATGCAGAAAAATTCCACTACAGTTTGGAGAACAAATATGCCACTTTTACCCTAGGAATGTCTTGCTAAGACATTTTAACATCACTGGGTTACACATTATACTGACAATATGATCCATTTTTAAAGCTGAAAACAACAACAAAAAAAGAAATAATTTGACAGAGGATAATGAGACATTTCTTTAAAACACAGTGAAAAAATATTTAAGGAGGACTGTAATCTTTTCATTTTTGTTGTGAATATGATTGAAGCAATGTACAAAAAGGCAGCACTCTTGAACACCAGGCAGCCACCACCACCTCATTACAGTGGATCTGCCACAACACAATGGGAACCATTTCTCTTGCAGGTAAGGAACAATGAACATGTCCTCATCTTACCTAGGTTTTTGTCAAAAAGTCAACCTGCTAGAAACCAACTAACTCAAAAGCCATGGTCAGTGAGTCGATTTCGACTCCCATACAGAATTTCTGAGACTGTAAATCTTTATGGCTATCCATACCCATGGCCATCGAGTCCATTCCAACTCACAGTGACCCTGTGGAGCAGAGAACTAACTGTTCCTTAGGGTTTCCAAGGCTGCAAATCTTTACAGGAGTAGAAAGCCTCATCTTTCTCCTGTGAAGTGGTTGGTGGGTTTGGACTGCTGACCTCATGGTTAGTGGTGTAATGTGTAAGCCATTATGCCACCAAGGCTCCTTAGACATCAAACCAGTTGGTCAATAGTCATTGTTGAAGCCCTATTCTGAATTACGTGAATTCATAAAACCAGTCAATCTATGGGCTTCCCTGTGGTCCCTTATGACCCAACTGACTTGCCTGTGTTTGGTGGGAAACTGGGGCTTTTATATGTTGTGGAGGAGGGTGGGGGAAGGCAGCTTAATTAATACCCAGATCCCTGAGCAGAGAGCTGGCTGGGAGAACACCAAACACTTGTACCCTTTGTCTGGATTGGCATCTAGAATTTACTGTTGTGTAAACCATTGAGAAAGACCCTTGAGGTGTGTCTGGAATCTGCCTCTTACTGACGGCCACCTAGGCCCCAGGTACAGACTGTTCCCTTAATACCCATTCTCAAGTAAGCTGTGCTTGAAATCACCTTTTCATTTTGCCAACTGAAGTCTGAGTGCCTTCCCAGCCCGCCTTTTGTAATTAACTAAAAGTAGGAAAATCTTATAAAAATTAGTTATCTTAGATAAAAGGTAGTAGCTATGAACAAATAAATAATGACATAGAGCTTTGAGGGGAAAAAAAATCACTATGCACATACAATTCTTACAGGCTGTCGCCACTGCCTTGACTGGACTTCATTTTACTAAGCTGGGAAAGAGACTTTTGAGGATGCAGGTCCTTCAGGCCCTTAGCTCTACCCCATCCAGGAAGAATGAATGAGCTTGATGCCCAGGACCTGTGGTGCTTGCGGCGGAGCCGAGGGAGGCGCTGGCCCTCCTAGTGAAGACACTTTAGGCTTGCCGTAGAGGTAGGAAAGTAGGGAGGGAAACACAGTAGAGGTGGGAGAGAAGCAGCAGCCTGAGGGCTGATCACCCCCAGCTGATCACAAGTAGAAAAACTATGGTATTGCTGATTTACTAAGAAGAATCATCTCTATCAGTAAACTGCCAAACACCCACAGAGCAAACAAAGTCCTACATGCTTTTAAAAAGCAGGATTGTTACACTAAATAGAACCAGAAAACCAACTGGCTTGGAAAACATGGAAACGAGGTCCCAAGTTCTTCATATACTGAGAGTTGTCAGGAAATGACATTCCATTCCTTAACTGTGCTAATAGCATCAATTTATTGACAGTTAAGGATCAGTGTGCTCTCCTACTGGTCTCTGGTTCTCTGCTCAGGGCACCAATGGAGTTACCCACACACTGAGGCCCTGGGGAGCTTGAGCTCAACCAGTGTTGGTAGGAGAAAGATGAGCCAGCCCTTCCCACCTGGCAGCAGGGGCGGATACCAGCTCATAGTTAGGACCTTGCATGTACAGTTTATGGAAATTTATAAAACAATAAAAAGAACAGATGTTTAAAAACTTTACAACATATTCTGTATAAAAGCAGTCTTGAAAATGGAGTCCCTCTGTTCAATTAAAAGAAATCCATGGCCGTTGGTCTTCTCTTTGGAGGGGTGGCCAACACTTTCTTGGGTGCTAGGGGAGTGGTGGAGGGAGAACGCGTGGGAGTCTTCAGCACACCATGGAGGGGCTTCTGCTCAGGGTTGAAGGCCACTCGGGAAGGACCCGTTGGACTGACCAAGATACTCTTGTCTGTCTTCTTGAATTCTGTCCCAGATGGAAAAAAGTCACACATTAACTGATAACTTCTCTGCCCATCCAACCTGTCTAGTGTGTCCTCTGGGTCTGGGTCTGGGTCTGGGTCTGGGTCTGGTATGTGACCTGCCCTTGCTCCCACTCACCTAACAGACACTGGAGCTTCAAGGGGTGCCCATTCAGAACAAAGAGACTTTGAAGGTAAAGGGGCATAAGGAACACAGATAAATTAGTAAGACCCAGAAAAAAAAGGCTGCAGAAGTCTTCCCTCAGGGGGGTTTCGTTCCCCCACTTACTCCAGCAATAAAAACTAGGCCTCATTAGCTCAGGTAGGGGCTGAGTGTCTCAGGTCCTTGCCAGATAGTATCTCTGCATACAAACCCGAGTGTATACACATACACATTCATACACATGGGTTCCTTGGCCTCAGATACCAGAACCCCACAACTGCTCTCCGGTGGGGCCTCCAAGTCCCCAACCACCACAAGAAGAGCCGTTTCTGATGACATGCTTCCTAACGCAAACACCAAACTCACCTGCAGTCATGTTTCTGTTCAGCCCAAAAGTGACCTTCTTGGAGCTGGATGGGGTTTTGCTTAACTGCTGAAAAAAACCAAGAGGAGTCAAACAGATGACACTGACTGAGGTGCTGTGACCACACTCATGGTACAAAGTGCCGAAGTGCCCACTGCTGCCTGCAGCTCAGCTAGGGACAGTGGTATGTACCATGGCTGGATACCGACCCACAGGTTTCCCAGCCCTACAGCATCACAAATGACGCATGCAGGACGCCACGATGACCCTGTGAGTCTGGCAGGACACAGTCCCTGTGCTCCCAGTGAAGAGCTACATACGCATGCTGCCTGAAGCCCTCAAATGACAGGAAAAAGCTCACCACTGAAAAACGGTCAGAATAATAACTCCCACTCATTTGCCCCTAGAGTTCTGTCTTGGACAGGACAGGAAATTGGTTAAACCTCTAAAGGAATCTGATGTCAACGGCAAAGGAAGTGTTATGTCCCAGTTTTTTTATGCATCACGACCAAGTCATCAAAATGAGCCAGGCTCTACCTCGCTATCTGGGAAACTCGTATAAATGGCTCCATTTTCCATCAGGAATCACTTCCTCAAAATCCCTTCCAGGCACTGCGTTTCTACCTTAGACCTTTTTTGCTTCAGCAAATGTCTTTGTATATGAGGTCTTCTGTATAAGCACTACCAAAGGCAGTGGTCACCCACTCATTCTCTTTAAGTAGTTCTTTTTTCTTACAATTCCCATTGATCTTGGTCTCCACAGTGGGCGTTGACCCCACATTGCCCCAGAGGATGCTCAATTTGAGAGCCCTATGTCCCAGCTGCTGGTGGTGAAGACCACTGAAGCTGCCTGCTGGCACCTTGGTCTGATTTGGAGACTGACCAAGCTTGACACTGGGAACCTGTGTATGGTGACTGGAGGTGCCAACCTGGGAAGAACTGGTGTGATCACTAATAGACATCCTAGCTCTTTTGATGTGGTTCATGTGAAAGATGCCAATGGCAACAGCTTTGCCACCCGACTTTCCAACATTTTCATTACTGGCAAAGGCAACAAACCATGGATTTCTCTTCCCCGAGGAAAACCCTTACCATTGCTGAAAAGAGAGATAAGAGACTGGATGCCAAGCAGAGCAGTGGGTGAAATGTTCTCTAGGTGATGTGAACGAACAGATCTTTAGGTAATTAAAGATATTAAAAACACACACACAAGTCTGCCAGCAGCCTGGAGGGCAAGACACGAAGGAGGACTTTTCTCTGATGTCCTAGTGAAGAACACCAGGTAACCAGGAGCAAAGGGCAGAGGGCAGCTGAGGAAAGGCAAGGGTAACCGTGTCAGGCGTAGGGGGCATCTGCTTTCATTTTTCAAATGGTCTTGTCTTTTTAAAAAAAGTACTTAAAGTAGTAGATGCTTGTCAATAACTCACCTTGCTCAGTTCTGGTCTCTGGAAACAACCCCACCTGTCCCACCTCATCTTATCTCCTGCCGCACAGACAGGCAGGTTCCCTAGGGACTCCCTCCCTCTTCTCTCTGCTGTTGCTCTTCTCCAGAAGATGTTACCTGCTCCCACGGATGGGAACATCTGGCCTTTTGGTCTAGGAGTCTGCATTGTCATCTGCACCTCCATGACCCCCTTCACTGTGGATCCCGCAGGGGCAGTACATGACCACCCAGAAAGAGTTTTGACACAATTACATGGCTGAGAATGGGGCCTCAGAGCCTCCTGCCACACTGGTCTGACACAGGGGACTGGATTTTCTGGACAGGACCCATAGACCACAGAGTCGGCCAAGACCCCACTGAGCCCAGATGTACCTTCCAGGTGGGGCTCAGAAAGAAGGAGAGAGCACTGTTGCTTTTAGGTTTCCTGAAGAACAGGGGCTGTGGCAAGAAAGGGGTGTCAAACTTCACAAAGTCGGTTTCTGCTGCCCTCAGCTTCTTCTTCTTCAAAGGGCTGAAGGCTCCACCATTTCCCTATAGAGCAAGAGGTGAGAAGTAGAAATAAGTGAAAATGTGCACAGGAAGTAAAAAAATATGGCAATGAGGGCAGATGTAGGCTGGGAAGGCCAATTCTCAGGACCCAGCACATCGATTTGAGACAATTCCACAGCACACTGCTTCCTGTACAGGGTTTGCCAGGGCCCCTTTACCCAGCAGAGCACAGACTTATAGAACGATGGCAGTATTAGCACTGGAGCCCAGGGGCTTCCTGTCTTCACTTTTTAAAAATCTGCATCTTCAAATGCAGGGCTACGTTTTGAATAATTTTGTTTTTCAAAAACCATCCATAAAATAATAAAAAGTCATCTTCTTACTTCTGATCAAAGATGTAAACCAAAACAAACCCAAGCTCCTTGCCATCTAGTCTATTCAGATTCATGGAGACTCCATATGTTACAAGTAGAACTATTCCATAGAACATTCTTGCCTATCATCTTATGCAAGCAGATTGCCAGGACTTTCTTCAGTGGTACCACGGGTGGATTGGAAGCACCAAACTTTAGGTTAGTAGGTAATAAACTGTCACACTCCATAGTGACCTGAGTCAGGCTCTGTAGGTTCATTGTAGGCAGACACACAGCACTCACCAGGTCTTTGCAAACTGCTAACAGCTCTATTTTGGGACCTACAGAGCTAGGAAACCCAATGCACAAGGTGTCTTACTGGCGGTCTGGGCAAGTCACTGGTGTCCTTGGCTTGGAAGTATCTGCTGCCCACCCCACGAGGTCACCAGGAGCCCCCTCTGTTCTCCTTTCCCTCCACTTACAAAGACGCAAAATATACAGCTCCCTGTTCTGAGAAAGGTGCTCCTTGACCCTGTGCCTTTCTGAAGTGACCATTCCAATTCTTTTTCAAAAGCCTGCCAGCAGCTGTTTCCTGCTCAGTGCAGCTACGGCTCCTGGTCCCAAGAAACATCTTAAGTGTGTGGCTGCCTCAAAGCATTGGATGCTGGACAAACTGACTGGTGTGTTGCTCCATGCCTCCCACTGATCATTTTCTTATGGATCAGACTTAAGTATGCCCTGACAGAAGATGAAGTTAAAGATTTGTATGCAGCAGTTCATTAAGATTGATGGCAAGGTCCGAACTGATATAACATATCCTGCTGGTTTTATGGATGTCATCAGAATTGACAAAACCAGAGAAAATTTCCATCTGGTCTATGTATGACATCAAGGGTTGATTTGCTGTTCATCGTATTACACCTGAGAAGGTGAAGTACTAGTAAGAAAGATCTTTGTGGGCACAAAAGGAATCCCCCATCTGGTGACCCATGATGCTCGCACCATACGCTATCCTGATACCCTCATCAAGGTGAATGATACCATACAGATTGTAGACTGGAAGATTACTGATTTCATCAAGTTTGACACTGGTAACCTGTGTATGGTGACTGGAGGTGCCAACTTGGGAAAAATTAGTGTGATCACTAACAGAGACATCCTGGCTCTTTTGATGTGGTTCATGTGAAAGATGCCAATGGCAACAGCTTTGCCACCCGACTTTCCAACATTTTCATTACTGGCAAAGGCAACAAACCATGGATTTCTCTTCCCCGAAGAAAACCCTTACCATTGCTGAAAAGAGAGAGAAGAGACTGGATGCCAAGCAGAGCAGTGGGTGAAATGTTCTCTAGGTGATGTGAACGAACAGATCTTTAGGTAATTAAAGATATTAAAAACACACACACAAGTCTGCCAGCAGCCTGGAGGGCAAGACATGAAGGAGGACTTTTCTCTGATGTCCTAGGGCAATGAGATGTCACCTGATCACCACTTGAGGGACCAAGTACAGGAATCTCCCTCCTTAAGTCCTCCTGTGTGGGGCCCAGGACCTGAGCTAGTGGCCGGCTATAGAGAAGTGTAGGGAGAGAACCCAGTATGAGAGTCACCAGGAGGCGAGAACCAGAAGGACTGCTGGTGAAGAGCAGAGGGAGCGCAGGGAGGGCTTTTTTCTCCTTCTGGGGACATCACTAGAGGGTTGAAAGCAACACAATCAAGAAAAAAATGAACCCCAGTGATATTAAGTGGATTGTTGTTGTTGTTGTTAAGTGCCTTCGAGTCGGTTCCGACCCATAGAATTAAGTGGATAAGACAACAAAATTAGAGAAAGACTGAAGAATAGAAGCAGATTTTGTGCTTTATACTCAGATTGCCTAGTTTTTTACTGAGCATATACTAACTCACCTAGTAACTTAGGCCTGAAACCAGCATTTAACCAAGACTACACCAATTCCCTTAAACAAAGGCCTAGATGCCATAACCACTGGAAAGTAGGATGTGCGGATACAATCACACACAAGGGCTGGCCAGCACACTGCTTCTGTAAAGGGCCCAGTGTAAGTAAACAACTTTGGCTTTGCAGGCCATATATAGTTGGATGCAGCTGCTCAACACAGGCAGAACACAGGCAGCCATTGACTGATTGTGTTTCAATAAAACATCATTACAAAAACAGAACTGAGGGCGGGTTTGCCAACCTTGGTATATGTTGACATTGTTAGTGCCATTGAGTCAGTGCTGACTCAGTAACCCTGGATAGGACTTCCAAAGAGTGCCTGGCAAGTTTAAACTGCTGACCTTGCAGACCAATGCTTATCCTAGAGCGCCATACCAGTGCTAAGAGTAGAAATGTTGGTGGGAGAAGACTGACATCAGCAATCCAAGTGGAAACAAAGACTTCTCATTAATAAGGGCCGCTGGCCTGACCATCAATTACTAAAGAAAATGCTGTCAGCACGAACCAGCAGAGAGGCAGTCGGCTTATCTATACCTACTTGGCCCAGTGGAAGACCATGGATGGGCTGCACATGGCAACTAGGACCACTCACCTGTTTATCTAATCACTAGTACTGATTGTTGCATGCCATGACCAATTCTAACTGCTTCTTAGGTCAGAGGCCTGACGTCTCTCCCACCCCAACCCAATAAAATGGGTCCAAAGAGGCAGCAGAGTCCCTGGATACTTCTGCGCAATATGCCTTCAGTCACCCTGCCACAGGCTTTCACTTACCAGAGTGTGGATCTGTTTGACTTCAATGTCTGACATGCTATTGTGCTCTACCAAGTGCAGCATCTCTTTAACCCTCTTCCTCTTTTTCAAGATGGTGGTCTTTGGGTTGGACAGGTCATATAAGCCACACCGGTCAAGTCGGCTGGGTGTCCCCTTCATCTTCTTTAGTTTCACGCCCTGGGACAGGGCAGCGTGGCCATTCCCTTTATCTCCTGGGCTGGTTCGAGGGCTTTCCTTCCCTTTTGGAGGCCAGGCCGTCATGGACATGCTGCTGCCATTGACTGAGAGTTTCCGCTTCTTCTTTAGAGCTTGGAGGCTACCTTTTGGGAACCTACGGGCGTCAGCTTCCCGAGCAGGGTTACTGCTGGGGCCACTTTGAATCATACCCTCTGCAGGTGGCATTGCTATTCCTGGGACCCCTTCCTGGACCCTCAGGCGCTTCTTCTTGGGTCGTTTCCTTTTGTTGCATGTGGGAACAGCTAAGGGATGCTCCAAGCCACCCTCTTCTGTAGTGCTGGAGAAGGCTTCTGTTCTCATTCCAACTATACCTGGAACATTCTCGTCTTTTCTCTTTTTTTCTTCTGGTTCGCTGCTCCCATTCTGGGCTGGGGACATAACTTTGGCCCCTGAGACTAAATTTTCAGACTGGAGATGGATCTTTTTCTTTTTCCTTTTCCTCTTCTGAGTACTGCCTTCATTTTCTTCTTCCTCCATACAAATGAATTTGTTTCCTATAAAGACACAAAATCCAACGAACAGACAGACATCAGTCGCCACTACCCTGAGACCAGCAGAACTAAATGGTGCCCCACTACCACTATACCAAGTGCCCTGAAAAGAATCAATTTTGAAGGCCATGGATAGATTAGATGGACAAATGTGGAACAAAACTCAAAAATCATTAAAGAAGAGAGACCAGGCTTACTGGTCAGGTAGAGGCCGGTGGAACCTCTGAGACTATGGTCCTTAGTCACCTTTCCAGCCCACAACTGAACTCACTCTATGACTCAATATTCAGCCACAAAACACATAGGCCTACAAGGATTGGCACAATAACACTAGGGAGGTATGAACATCTTACAATAATCAGACATTTGAGATCAGAAGGGCAGCATTTACTCAAGGGCAAAGTTCAGAAAGGTTAAGAAAGAATGATGAATGGAAACAGGAAACACAGGAAGGAAGTGAGATAAGGGACGTCACACTGTGGGAGCTACAATCAATGAGATGAAACAAAATGTGTATGAATTTTTGAATTTTATTTATTTATTTTTTTAAGGTTTTTATTGTTGATTGAGTGAAAGTTTTCAGGGCACATCATCGGTTTCACATTCAAACATTCATATACCTTGTTTCATTACATTGATTATAATCCCCTCCACATACCATCAGTTAACAGAGTTTCTCTCTATCCTCTTTAGCTTTTTTTGGGGGAAAAACTTTGCCTTTTTGGAATTTACAGTCTCGGCTTTTAGGGAAGGTTTTTACATTTATCTGTGGGTATCCAGGGCTCATGTATGGAATTACTAACCAGCATAACTGAACAATCAGATGAGGGACATTTTGCTATGTCTGCTAGGTGGCTAAAGTCTGATCCTCAGAGGCTATGGTTTGGACGGTCAGCAATGCTTGGGCCCACAGGGCCTTGAACTCCTGACTGGGTCTGCACGGTCTGCATCAGATTCCCCCATATTTATTATTTGTTTAAGGGACGCTGCTTGTCTTAGGCGGTCAGTGTGCATTCCTCAGTCTTACCCGTCATCGAAACTCATTGTAGCATGGCAATGGCTCTGTCTTAGGTTGCCTGTGTATGGATTTTTAAATGGAAAACTGATCTGCTCTGTAAGCCCAATTCACGAGTTGTGGGTATTAAGTGCCATCAAGTTGGTCCAGACTCCCAGCGAGCCCGTATAGAATTTTCAAGGAGTTGCTGGTGAGTTTGAACTGCAAGCTTTGCGGTTCAAACTGACCTTGTGGTCCAGTGCTTTAGCCCACAACACCACACCAGGACTCCAATTCACAACAGAAAGCTAAAATAAAGCAATAGAAGATAAAAACAAAAAACGTAAGTAGTGATGCCAATTTCTTATACCTCTGATTTCACATTTGCAAATAACATCGGTCTTCTACACTATAGTTCAAAGAAATTATTACATCACTACACTCATGTGGGTTAATGCGCCAGACCACAAAGCTGTCTGAACTGCAAGGTCAGCGGTTTAAGCTCACCAGCTGCTCCTCGGAAAACACTATACAGGGTCGCTATGGGTTGGAATTGACTCAACGGCACTTAACAACAACAACCCATGATTTATTCTACTCAAAGAGGCCTTCCTAGCATTGATCAATGGAGCTTGCCTAGGTCAATGTTTAAGCCATAATCTTTTTCTGATATTTACTCAGGGGTGTTTTATGGATTCTTTCCCTGAAAAAAAAATTTACAAAAAGGATCAAAATGCTTTCTTCTTTTAGTACAAATCACTGACAGTGTTAAAGCCAACAAGTGTAGCAAAAGTGATCCTTCACTTCAAGAAAACCAAAAACCCAGTTCACGATGCAAAGAGGAAATGGTAAAGTCTTGCTGATGATGAAGAGAATTTTTTGGGATTTTAGCACCAGGAAAGTTTTGTTCTCTTGGATGGTGCACTCAAATCGCCTAGCTTTCTCATTTGGTCCCATTTCTTCCTATGCACAACTATGATTGGAAACTTTCCTGAAACCTATCTCAATATAAATGGAGTAGAAATAATACTTAGCTACGCATTGATTGTTAGGAGTCCTGGTGTGGCGCTGTAGGATAAGCACTAGACTACAAGATCAAGATCAATTTGAATGCAAGGTGGATGGTTCAAACTCACCAGCCACTCCTTGGAAATCCTATACAGGGCTGCTATGAGTTGGAACAACAACATTGGTTTTTGAAACAAAAAGGATTTCTGTAATCTAATAAAAACGTACAGTATAATCTACTGTAGTACTATAGTAATGAAATGACTGCTCCAAAGGGTACTATCTGTCCCACAGTACCTGCATCTTTCCCCTTAAAAGCTGTCCTTATGCGTAAGAAGCTTTTAGGCTGAACAGTGGGTGCTGCAGGAACGGAAACTTTGACAATAGCCCAGCAGAGCTTCCCCTGACTTCACAGCCCGCCACTCCCCAGCTTTCCATCCCTCCCTGATCGTAAGCTCAGCACCTTACCTTTCTCCTTATCCAAGTGGGCTTTCTCTGAAGGCTTAGGTCCTTTTTTCTTATTCCTGCCTTGACTGGTGGGGTGGTCATCTTCATCAGCAGAAATGGTCTCAGTAAAATCGAACTGGGACACACTACCTGCTAGGCACCAAAGCACATCTGGTCAGCTTTCTGAGACCTTCAGGATTCTGTCCTGGCTCACTTCATCCAGGCAGATCCTGAACCCGGATTTCTGCCTCATTACAGACATAAAAGGCTCCAGGATTTGTGAACTGAGAGAGGTTAAAAGTCCTGGCCAACTCAGGATGTACATGGCAGTGGATTATTTTCACAGCCCAAGAAAACAACTAGGTTTATAGATGATAGTGGTTTTCCTTGAGAACACAGCAAAATTCAAGGAACCCTATAAAACCAAAATTTCTTCTCTAGTCAAAACCTTCCTTTAAAAAATAACCAAGCCCCACATCACCCATGAGCAAGAGGAGAGGGTACTTGTAGCCCCAGCATTTTTGAGGGAGAGCTGAGTCTGGCTCAGCTTGGATTCTCTGGGATGTTGACTGGGTGGTGGGTGGGAAACTCCTGTACTTGTGTCACTTCAGGGGGCTTCTGCCTAAGGCTCAGACGCCATAACAGGTGGCCTCTTCCTATGTAAGGGACACCACTGCTCATGACATGGTTTTAAACACAACTTTCACAAGCTTGGTTTTCCATATTTGACATAAATGTCCTTGAAAGGGTTCCATAATCATGTGGTGGTGTGCTGTAGAGTCAGTTCTGACTCATAGCGACCCTGGCATAGGGTTTCCGAGGCTGTACATCTTTACGGGAGCAGAAAGCCTCATCTTGTTCCTGTGGAATGGCTGGTAGTTTTGAACTGCTGACCCTGAGATTAGCAGCCTGACTCATAACCACTAAGCTACCACAGCTCCTCCATATTCATGTAAAACACCACAGATTATAATCCTCTAGCTTTCCTCACCTTCAGAAAGATCTTGGAATCTGAAAAATGAAACAAATAAACAACAGTTAATAAAGATAGGGGACACTGAGCTTCTACAGAAGAATTCGGGAAGGAACAATGGCGGTTAAACATGACAAGCATATCTGTCACTGAACTGTACATGTGCAGATGTTTTGCTATCTATATATTTACCATAATAAAAAAAAGTATTTTTGATTGTGAGGGTTGGAAATGTAAAGGTAGACATTTTATAGCAAGGAAGGGAGTGATTAACTTTGCAGTCTAGGAGCGGAGGTCCCTGAGACCATCAACGGAGAAGAGCCGAGAGCTGGACCCTACCCAGAGAAGCAGTGATGCCTGAGATGGAGGCAGAGACGATGACGTGGAGAGACGGATCAACTAGAGACTTTAGATCCACAGAGGGAGAGCGACTGTGTGCTGAAGATGGGGGGGTGGGCAGTGTAGGGTAGACCTTTTGGTTGGTTGATGATGCTTGGAAGGGATTGTAACCATGGCAATGAATCGATATATGATAGAATGAATGTAAAACTAATGTTCTCCCATGTAAACTATCATATAATTCACAATAAAACATTAAAAAAAATGTATTTTTAAAAAGTCTATAGTTAAAAAAGAAAAATCAACTGAGAAGTGGATGAAATATCTACTATGGTAACTATAAAGAACAAAATTTATAATGAAAATCTGACTTCTATAAATATATGTACATTAATTTTTAAAACAATTCTTGTCCATCTGTTAATTTACTTTCCTTTTTCTCCAGGAGAGGAGATGAAGGAGAAGATTTCATTAAGGAAAGAAGGTCTGACAGAGGTAAAAACTGAATGATGAAACTGCCCTCAGTTATAGTATCACCGAGAATATGATGATTAGAAGATGCTGTCCCCACACACCCAAATAAAATAGATGTTAATTTCCCCCAATATTTGTTTTTCAGGGGTCTTGGTATGGCACTGTGGGTTAATGTGCTGGAATGCAAAGTTGGTTTGAACCACAAGACCGGCAGTTCAATTTCACTAGCCGCTCCTCAGAAACACTATACAGGATTGCTATGGGTCACAACTGACTCAACAGCACTTTAACAACAAATAATTTGTTTTTTTAAGAAGAAATGGTGTAGATTGCCATTGTAAGACTTACATTCAGTTCTCCTTCTTCACTTATCAAGTGGAAAAATACCAAGTAGTGTTTTGTTAAAAGACATAATTTTAGTGCATAAGAACAAAAACCACGCACAGAAAAGCTGGGTGAGGGCCATACCACCCTGAATGCGCCAGATCTGTACTCATCTCGGAAGCTAAGCATACCACCCTGAATGCGCCAGATCTGTACTCATCTCGGAAGTACTTGGATGGGAGAAACAGTGGTGTCGGGGGAGAAGGTTCCTGTCTTACCCTTTTAACATTAGCTATGTGATCTTAGGCAGGGTAGTTACCTTCCTATGCCCCAGTTAACCCATTTATGAAATGGAGACAATTATGGAAACCATCTTATAAGGCCCTTCTTAACAAGAAATGATTTAATACAGGCAGAGTGTTCAGCCCTGGTCAATTAGCATAATCAGCACCACAAAGATGTAGTAACAAAGCAGCTAAAATAGTGGTGGTGGTGGTTATGTGCTGTGGCTTCAGTTCCGACTCATAGGGACCCTGTACAGGGTTTTCATGGCTATAAATCTTTATGGGAGCAGAAAATCTCATCTTTCTCCCACAGAACAGCTGGTAGTTTCGAACTGCTGACCTTGCGGTTCACAGCCTGATTCATAACCACTACAGTACCAGAGAGAGGCCTAATTTGAGGAATGAAAGCTAAGGGAAGGGAGTAGCTGCTTTTCATAAAGCCTTTCAGTCTATCAGCCTATGTTACACTGCTATGAATGAAAGATTAAAGGATAAAGAAAACAGAAAAGTTTAGCGTGGTGATAACTAGTCCTACACCAGGAAAAAACTTGAACTTGAATGTGAACAACCAGATGAAATTCTCTTACACATTCACTTACTTTTTGATTAGTTTAGAGAGACATTTCTTATTGAAGGGAGGGATGCTTTTTTTGTTGGTTATTTCCAGCAGTCGATCAGCAACAGCCTTATAATCAAACTATGTAGAAAAGAGAAATGAAACAGATCAGGAGCAAAGCCCACTGCTTGACTAGTCCACATACATGCCACAGACACCCAAATGATGGACCTTCAGCCCGGAGTCTTGGAAGCACTTGGAAACAGAACAGTCTCCACTGTAATGTGCTGACACTTGTTAAGTGCCATTGAGTCGGTTCCAACCTATAGCAACCCTGTATAGGGTTTCCGAGGAGCAGCTGGTGAGCTTGAACTGCTGACTTTGTGGTTCAAACAGACCTTGTAGTTGAGCACATTAACCCACAGCACCACCTCAGGACTCCGTGCTGACACTACTTGGTAACTGTTTAAACTGACGCAGTAAATTTGGAAGTTTAAAGCAGTCTCTTTCAGAGGCTCAGTTCTGGGTTTTTTTTTTTGGAGGAAACTTGGTGTACTTCTTTTGAAGTTTAAACAAGAATTTCAATTTGAACCTGGTAGCATACTTGCTGTTGTTAAGTGTCGTGGAGTTGGCTCCGACTCATAGCGACCCTATACAGGGTTTCTGAGGCTGTAAATCTTTACGGGAGCAGAAAGCCTCATCACTCTCCCATGGAACAGCTGGTAGTTTCGAACTGCTGACCTTGCGGCTTGCAGCCCGATTTGTAACCACTACGCTAGACTTTATTTAAAATGTATCACCAATACCGTCTTTGTTATATGGAACAGGGCAAATCTAAGGATTGAAACCAAAATGAGGACTGACAACTTTGCAAATTCCACCATCTTTAAATTTCTTTGTCTCAAAAGAGTGCATTATGAGTAAGGTGACACTTCCTAGTGACTGAAGGGCTAAAGAGGAACTTTAGTGTCAACTTTAAGGATTAGCTTTGAGCCTAATTCTCAATGAGCTGGGCCGATCCACAGTCATCTATGCGCTATAAGCTGTGTTACCACCACAGACCTTCAGCAGTGGACCTGGGGCCTCACAGGCACCGCAGCTCTCCTGGTCTTTGTCATCGCTGATGCCATCTTTTCTTGAGTGGTGTTTACCTAGGGCTGAAAACACATCCAGAGATAAAATACTTTACATCAAAGGACTTCACATAGTGAGGACTACTTCCAAAAAACTGCCTTTTACTGAAAATAAGAAATAGACAAAAGAATGTTTCTTTAAAGAGGAAAACAAATCTGCAAATATATTTGTAATCTCCCCAAAATATTCCGGTTGGTTGTTCCCTGGAACTGATATTAACTCCGGAGAAGTAACACATTTGCCTGATTTACCCATGTTGGATGGAGCCATCAGTGAACCCAGAGAAGCCCTGGCCTCCACCAGGGTTTCTCATTCCACATGTCATCTGTCTACGTGGAAGTGAATGGAAAGTGCTGGAGTTCATTGGCTTGGCCACTGACTCAGGTCACATGTTGTCCTTGACTGTGACCAAAGGAGAATGGGATTCATGAGTCTGTCCTTGGTTTCAGGTACAAGTTTGGAATCTTGATAAAAGCATTTTATAGCAGAACACAAACTTTTCTAAAACAAACAAAACACCCATCCCAACTCATAGTAAACTTATAAAACAGTGTTGAATTGTCCCAAGGCTTGTTTCTAAAGCTATGGAAGCCACATCTTTTTCCCACAGAGCAGCTGGTGTGTATGAAAGCTGACCTTTCAGGAAGCAGTCGAGTGTTTAACCACTGTGCTGCTAGGGATCCTTGGGGCTGCCTCAGGACACATACTACATTACTATAAACCTGACTTTTGGTATTTAAACATTTGAAAAGAGTCAGCAGCCTAGGAAGAAGGGACACACACTATGAGTCAGAGTGCAAGACTTTCCCCATATCTGTGTTGCTTCTGCAATACTGTAAGCTCATTCAGGGAATAACTCATTCAGGGTCTGGGCTGAAGGAGATGGAGCAGGGTCTAACTTAGGTGGGTTGCAGTAAGCACTTGAAAAAACTGAGAGATCTTTGGGTCTGCACATAGGTGAATGAGATGTCTCTGAGACCAACGAAATCATGGCAAACAGAAAGGGTCGACAGACAACACCCAGGACCACACAGAAACAGCTCAAGATCTTGATAAGATCGGCCACCTACACAGAATCTAAACTCAAAATTACTCTTTTGTTTTGTTTTTAAAGGCACATGGTACTTTTCTGTATAACATATAAAAAGACAGGATTGTTACTGAAAATTTATAAAGTATAAATAGAACAGCAATCACCTTTAATTCTACCACCCATGGCTAACTATTAACATTTTGGTATATATCTTTCCAGGTTTTTTTTATTTTGGTATGTGGCACATATAAATATTTAAAATAAGTCAGGCTTCTTCTGTCTAGTTTTGTATCCTGCTTCCCACAATGCCGGGCATTGGGTTTCAATCTTTGCTCTGCAATGGCCGTACATTTCTAAGTATGGCATCCTCTAACTTAGTCCTATACCTAATGTGAGATGCTGCCAATCACTCAGAGCACTTTCAGGAGCCAGAACCTCAGCGGCTCAGACTGCACGGAAGTCCATGAACGACACTTTAATTATCCAAAGGAAAAAAAATAAAAAACATCTGAAGGAGTCTTGAGATCATCTAAGAGCTATAGAAACTACAGGTAGTGTGCCTTTGGAATGTTACGTAAATCTCAGGTTTTCCACAGCAGACACTCATACAGGTACAAATCCACATTATGATACTTAAAACACATCATCCGCCCCCTACTCCTCCCAAAAAACAACAGCAACAGCATCACCAAAATCCTTGGAGGAAGCCCCGAGACCCTGGAAGAACAGAAGTATGTGTAGATAGCAGTCTTGAGTTCCCAGAGGACCCTGTTATAGGCACAGGTGTCTGACCTCTGTTTTTTGTTTTTGGGGTAGGGCTGCCCTTAGGCAGACCCATCCTTCAATAAATTCTTGGTTGTTTTCAGTGAGATTCCAGCAATTGTATTAGAAAGCACTGTTGGGCTTCATGAAGATTTTCCCCAGGAAAGTGATAAGCTTTTTTTTTTTTTTAATGTAAAAATTTTTTAAAAATGATAACCTTTTAGGGAAATTCTCCTACCTGGCTTCTTTTTGCTGACTGTTTTTCTCCATGTCACCTCATTCTCAGAGATCTTTACTTCAGAGAGTTCAGCGCCATCCACTTTGGTTCTTTGCTCTTCCACCATTTCTTTGGGTACAAAAGGAGATGGATCCATGATGACTTCAAAAACACTCCTAGCTATAGTCTGGACCAAGGTCTGGCTGAAGGAGGAAGCACAGCAGAAAACGGGATTAAGACAAACAGCCAGGATTGTGGCATTAAAAGGAGAGCCTGCATTTTTGGTCTGACTGACCGCCAGGTGAGAAAGCACCTGTGCATGATATACTTGCTCATCACCTGTGTGGCCAGAAGCCAAGGAGGAGCTGGCGATGAGGCTGGGGGCAAACAGTAGGCAGGGCTGTGTGGGTGGAAGAGGAGTGGGGAGCCTGGCTCTGGGAACCACTGAAGCCAGAAAGACCCATTTCTTTTGGCAGCCTTCAAGTGTCTTGCTAGTTGGGAATTGAGAATGTGGTTGGCTCTTGAACTTTGGAAAACCATCACAAGTTATCTCACATCTTGTCCCACAACAGGAAATAACTTGTAGTTTCTAACAATTAAGCACCCACAGAAGCAATAAAAAACCAACACAGGAATCACTTACTCTTTAGTTTTGGCAGCAATTATGCAGAATGGATCAATAAACTTGAGATTCTGATTGGCCAGCAGCTGTGATTTAGAAAACAGGGAAGAAAAAGTGAGAAAAGGGAGAGAGCTTTTTCTTCTGACATGTTCTTGAGAAAAAGGAACTGTTTTCATGAGCACAAAGACAGAGCGAGACAGCATACTGCCCCTCTCACGCTGCATGTTGATTCCAACACCTGGAGCCCTGCTTCCAAGTCTGGCAGTACTTGGAGTCACTGGGCTAACCGAGAACAATCAGCCAAAGAAACCTGCCTAACCCAGATAGCATTACTGTGCACTTTCAGTGTATACATATGCCTGACTCTATGGAAACGGTGTATGCAGATGCTATTGGAAAGTATAAGACCAAGGGAATCTTTCTTTAATAAACATTTATACTTTCTTTACAGTCTCAGAAACCCCAAGGGGCAGTTCTACTCCGTCTGATAGAGTCGCAGAGTTGGAATCAACTTGATGGCAGTGGGCTTGGACTTTAAAAGCGTAATCTATCATGAGCATTTCCCTACACTATCATATTCTTTATTGGACTGTGTAGGCTACTTCCAGTTCTGCTTTATAAGACTACAATACATATCCTTGGTGAATAGGCTTCTGTCCATGTGTCCTATTAGCTACTTAAGGCTTACTTCAAAAGGGGAATCACTGGGTCACAAAATTAAAAACAAAAAACACCCAGCTGCCATTGAGTCAATTCCGACTCATGGCTACTTCACATGTGTCAGAGTAGAACTGTTGCGTATGGTTTTCAGTGGCTGAAATCACCAGGCCTTTTAAGGTGCCTTGAATGGACTTAAATCTCCAACCTATGATTAGCAGTCCAGTGCATTAAACTTTTGCAACATTCAGGGACTCTGGGTCAAAAGACAGGATGAAGCAATTTATGCTGCTACCATAATCATGCATATGGAATGCTGACAAAGAGCATTTTATAACAACTCATCTGGACTTTTAAGAGAGCCAACCCAACTCTTATTCAGGTTAGCTGTGGTGTTGTTGCAAGGCTAGTAGGATGTCTTCTTACCTCTTTACCCCCGACCTTGGACAGTTCATCCAGGTAAATATCAATGAAGTGGAACGTCATTCCGTTTGGAGACTGGCTCTCAGGATGCAGGACCTCCTTTGTTAAAACATCTAGAAAAAGCTGGATCCCACTAAGGGAAAAATACACAGCATGTCAGCTCCTCCCTCTTCTCCAAGTGAATCCAGTAATATTCACTCTAGTGGCTGTACTGCATAACAACCGAATGCAAAACAGTCCATTCAAAATGTACCTCTAAGCCTTGCAGGCTGAATGAACCCCTGACACTATTGCTCTGATACTTTCTTTAAGCCTTAAACCAAAAATACCCCTCTCAAGTCACTTATAATGTTAATTGTTACCTGTCCTAGCTAATGGGTTTCAAGTTCTCTTATAAAGGTGGGTTTTGTTTCTCATGGTACTCAATAATGATAGGCCTAGATGAGATAGTTAATGTTAGTTGATTAGTTGAAAAACACTCTTTGGAGTCCTGATGTGATGCTGTAGGATCAGCACTGGACTACCATAAGGTAGGTGGTTCAAACCCATCAGCCGCTTCTTGGAATCCCAGCACAGCGCGGGTGGGAAACCTTTTTTTTTCTGCCCAAATTTATAACACCATTCGCTGGCCATACAAAATTATCAACTTGAAAATTAGCCATGAGGTCAGGAGTCCTGGTGTTGCGCTGTAGAATAAGCACTGGACCGCAAGGTCAGTTTGAACCTTAAGGCTGGCAGCTCAAACTTACCAGACTCTCCTTGGAAATCCTACACAGGGTTGTTATGAGTTGGAACCGACTCAACGGCACTTAACAACAACAGTGATATGATGGCTGGAACTGCGGTTGACTCGCTCGGCAGGGCCGGATGTTCCCCGCCCGTGTGGTACAGAGCCACTATCAGTAGGAATAGACTCCACATCATTTAACAACAATAACTAAGTTGTACTAAAGCTACCAAAAGCTAAGAAGACGTGTACTAGCCTCTCTTCCCAGCCATTGCGCTTCAACACTTCAAAGGACTGCCTCAGGACCAGGCGGAGCAGCTGCAGAGAAAAAGGACTTCTGTTACAAATGGGAAACCATCAACAATAATCGTTAAGTTCTATATGGTGCTGTAGGACAAGCACTGGACTGCTAACTGCAAGGCCAGCAGTACAAACCCAACCAGCCCTACTGTGGGAGAAAGGGGAAGCTTTCTGCTCCCATCAACATGAATCGTCTCAGAAACCCTATCCGGTCACTGTGAGTTGGAATGGACTCAATGGCAGTGGGATAGCAAGAATGCTAACAAACATCCCACAGGAGCCCTGGTGGCACAGTGGTTAACGTGCTGGGCTGCCAATCGAAGGGTTGGTGGTTTTAAACTCACCAACTGCTTCTGGGGAGAAAAATGTGGCAATCTGTTTCTGTAAAGACCTACAGCCTTGGAAACCCTATACAAAGTTTTACTACTATGTCCTCATAGGGTTGTTTTGAGTTGGAATCGACTCAATGGCACTGGATGTTTTTCTGTTGTTGCTTCAGACCAAGCCCACTTCCATAGCAGCCACGGAGCCAGAACAGGGAATTCTGCAGCATCCTTGTAAGCACGCATGGAACTTGTTTTGTTCTATAAGTGAACCTATTATTCCTAAAATGCTGAAAATTCTTTCCTTCACACAGGAAGGAAAGTGTGAAGTGAGTTTGGACAGGAAGCTACTTTGCTCTTACCAGGTAGTATTTGTCCAGGCGCAGTTTGTCAATCCCCTTCCACTCTCGATTCATGGTTTGCCAAAAGGTCTGAATGAACAGGTGCTCTGCAGTGAACAAAAGTCTTTGAGTGCTTGGTTTTACTACTAACATAAAAAAATAAGAGCAAGAAAATAGTGACGAGAAAGAAACTTTTTATTTATCATTTACTTTTCTCAGGAATCTTGGGCATCTAGAAACTTTGATCAATAAATAAACATGCCCCACATTTCTTTTACAGTTAAATAAAAGTGTATTTTCACAAGAACAGGAAGTCAGGCATTCTCTTCACGTTCAGTTAGAATGCTCTATTGAGGGTCATTCTTTATCCACTGCTAATGTTTCTATAAAATCAAAACATTTTCGGATCCAGAGGGCATTTACTGGCTCTTTCCACCATACCCATGCCTAACAACTAATTTTTATGAACATTTACATGATCCATATAAAATCTTAGCCTTTTGTGTGATGATAGGTATCAGTTGGGTGGACCATAGCACAAGATATTCCATTTTTCTCTTCTGAGTCATGAAACTAGTATCTTTTCATTCAACATGTCTTTGTTGAGTTTTTAAAAATTGGTTTTCTTCTTTTTAGTTATCTGCAATTCTATACTCTTTTACATATAGAAACTTTCTCATTACTATTTAGCTGAAATCTTGCTAAAATTCAGAGACCCACTGAAAGTTATTTAAACCACTGGAGCGGCTTTGTTCTGAGGAGTGCTAAGCAGAACAAATTCTGCTGGCTTTTTCTTCCTTTGTAGGTGATAAAAGCCTGGCTGTCTCAGAAATCCTTTGATTCTACCCCCCTCCCTTTGTTTATTCTTTTTGTTAAAGTTAATAGCTTTACCAATGATGTCCTTATATATGCGAATCTTGGGGAGAATACCCTGTTATCACAGGGTACTGCAAACACTGGTTGGTATATGTACATGCAACCACAAAGAGGGTTATATACAGCTCAGAATTCTTAAAGTTGGCAGGAATTTATTTCTTAAAACATTTTCTAGAAACCTAAGATAAGTCAAGTACGAAACTTCACAAGACACTCCTCCGCTCTTGTACCAAGCCAACATCCGAGTTTACTGTAATTTTTAACAGGGAGCGGCTTGTTGCTTGCTATCTGTCCACACACCATCAGCAGCACTAGGCTCATAGTGTTAAGCTAGCACACTGGAAAGCTGCAACTTTGAAGGAAAGAGACACAGCACACTCAGTTGGTTTCCTAGAAAGTTACCAAATTCGATGACCAGGGAAGTTTTGAAAGCCATGAAAAAGCCAAGACTTACGCGCCTCTGAGTTGTTAACAACATGGACGAGCTGGGATATCGTGTTTGCTAGCTCCTCCTGCAGGGGTGGGTGGGGGAAAACACTGGGATTATTAGGTGCAACACTGAGAAGACAGCACCAGGGCCTGCATCCTCCTGCACCTGCTGGTGGGAAACCTGTCCCTCTTGCTTTTCATGCTACTTCCACTAAGGAACAAGTAATGGGAGTGTGAACTGCATCCAATGTGAAATTCCTCATTTTGACAAACTACTATGTCAACGTCATGTGACTGAGAGTTGTTTAAGCTGCAAGTTAAAAAAGCATCTCTAGTTCAAATGTTCTATGGAAGCATATACAACAATCAGCTTCTTGCTTTCAAATATGTTAAGTGCCGTTGAGTTGGTTCCTACTAGCAATCCTGTATAGTGTTTCCAAAGAGCAGCTGCTGGGTTTGAACCACTGACCTTGCAGTCCAATACATTATCCTACAGTGCCACACCAGGACTCATATATATACTAGTAATGAAATCGGAGTCCTGGTGTAGCGCTGTAGGATAAGCAACAGACTGCTAATACAAGGTTAGCGGTTCAAATACACTAGCTGGCTCCTTAAAAACTCTATACAGGGTCGCTATGATTCGGAATCAAATTGAAGGCACTTAACAACAAACAAAAAGTACTTAAATGGAGATTCTACTCTAATTCCCCAAATAACCAGAGACCCAGAAGACAGAGTCAACTTGACTGTGGTTAAGATATCGGGCATTCTCAGTCCATGAGTGCTAGATGGGAGGCAATGGCTTATCCAGTGTCCTTCAAGGTGGTTCTGTCCTGGGCACGGGTGCAAACAGATGAACCTGGCCTGCTGAGACGGCGGGGCTCACCTGTGGGAGAACTTGGGGTCTGGGTCCATGAAGATACCTTTGTCTAACAGAGGAGTTCACTTTATGAGATTATATCAGAAAAGAATGATCCTCAGTGGTACTGCTGGTACTGCACCAAGCCTGAAATGATCCCTTACTCATTTTATAGGAACTCCCAGACTGAAAAGTGATGTTCCCCTCATCTACTTTCTTCCTCCACTAAAGCTGTTGGTTTGTTAACTTTTGAATGTAATTTCAAAATATTTTGCTCTGCTATCCTACTCAAAATATGTTCAGTGGAATAGAAGCAATAAACCCAATCACATGACTGCATAGCTTAGGGGGTGGAGAAGGAGTCGGGGGGGAGGGAAAAGAGAAGTGTGGCATGGCTGTGCAATAAAATCCAGAAAAATGAATGAAATCTCCCCAGGAACTCTGACACACCAGAGGTGTTCACCTGGTATCCTCAAGGCCAAGCCTTCTACTTTCACAAAAGCCAATCAGTTTGTCTGCAGCAGAACCAAGCTTTTAAACACACTAAGAAATGCACTTCCTTAGATGGTTTAGGAGACAGGGCAGCGTTGGTGGCTCTGGACTGCGAACCACAAGGTCAGTACTTGAGCCCATCAGCTGTTCCACAAGAGAAAGATGAGCCTTTCTGTTTACAGCCTTGGAAACACTATACTTTTTAAGTTGAAACCAACTCGATTGCAGTTACAGACCGTTTCGGTAGAGGGTTCCAGAAACAGGGAGCACAGCACACACATATGGTTTAGTCCATGCATGAAGTCTCCATTTTTGAGCTGAGTCAGAAGCAGCATTGGCTGCAAGGACTTGCCTGCTTACTTTATATAAAGAACCCAGCTCCCAGCAAGATGGCTCCCAGTCTGTGACACGGTTAAGCAGTGGCAGAGGTGGGTAAGCCTGGAGCCCTGGTCTCTCCTACCTAGGATCTTATACTAGTATTGTTTTTTTGTTTGTTTGTTTTTTAACCAGAAACAATAAATTTAAATTAAGACCAAACAGAAATCCAAAATAACTAATAGAACAATTCACCATGGAACCCACCAAAATAAGATAAATAACAAACCTATATTTACTGTGTATAGATTTGAAGAGGAAATTAACCTCAGTGTTTGGACAACACTCCCTTTACTTTCAGTCAGGACGCCAGAAAACCTTGGAATCGATTCAGACTCACAGTGACCACACTGAGCAGAGTAGGACTGCCCCACAGCATTTCCAAGGCTGTAAGGGTTCAAACCACTGACCTTTTAGTTTGCAGCCCAATAAGCTTACTCTGCTGCACAAGCCCTTTTTAAAGTGTTGAAGAGCAAAGATGTCAGCTTGAAGACTAAGGTGCACCTGACCCAAGCCATGATATTTTCAGTAACCTCATATGCATGTGAAGGCTGGACAGTGAAAAATAAAGACCTTAGAAGAACTGATGCTTTTGAGTTATGGTGTTGGAGGAGAATATTGAAAGTGCCATGGACTGCCAAAATAACCAACAGATCTGTGTTGGAAGAAGTGCAGCCAGAGTGCTCCTTGGAGGCCAGGATGGCCAAACTTCGTCTCTCATACTTTGGACATATTGTCAGGAGGGATCAGCCGCTGGAGAAGGATATCGTGTTTGGTAAGGTGGAGGGTCAGAGAAAAAGAGGAAGATCCTCAACGAGATGGATTGGCAAAGTGGCAGCATCGATGGACTTAAGCTTGGCAACAATCGTGAGGTTGGCCCAGGATCAGGCAGTGTTTCGTTAAGCTGTGCATAGGGTTGCTGTGAGTTGGTACCAACTCGATGGCACCTAACAACAACTACACCACCAGGACTCCTTTCAATACGGAAGAGGTAAGAAAATCAGTCACAGGAAGCAGTGGCTGGCTATTCAGATGCATCAGAGGACTCAAGGAGTACTGGGGGTGCAGCAGTTAAGTACTTGACTTCCAAGCAAAAGCTCAGTGATTCAAACCCACTAGCCACTCTATGGAAGGAAGAGGTGGCAGCCTGCTTCCATAGAGACTACAGCCTGGGACATTTTTACTTTCTCATACAGGGGGGTGATGGGATAGAACTGACTCATTCGCACCCAGCAACAAATGAAGGGAGTTATCACAAACAAAAGGATGAAGCCTTTTTTATTCATCCAGGCCCCAAACGCAGTCATCTGACAAAGGGAACTGCATGTTACCTGAAGGACAGCTTCATCTTGCACCCACAGGCAATAAAAGAGTCCTTTCCATAGTTTCAATAGTTCTTCTTGGCTGAAGCCTCCTAGAGGATAAAACAACACAAAAAGCTAGTTTTAAAGTCTATAAATTTCCTTTCTAAAAGCTTATAAATGCCACATAAGAAGTGAAAGCGATTCCACATGCATTTCAATTCTCTCTTTTATAAGTACTTTTTAAAATTGGAAGCACACATCTCCGTGTTGCCAATAAGTTGTTGTTGTTAAGTGCTGTATAACAAGTTCTGACTCATAATGACCCTGTATAGAGTTTCCAAGGAGTGGCTAGTGAGTTTGAACCATCCATCTTGCAGTCCAGCACTTTATCCTGCAGCACCACACCAGGTTGTTGTTGTTGTTGTTAAGTGCCATCGCATTGGCTCCCACAGTGACCCTGTATAGGGTTTCTGAGGAGCAGCTGGTGAGCCTGAACTGCCCACCTTGCAGTTCAAATGGCTTTGTAGTCTGGCGCATTAACATACTGTGCCACACCACACCAGGCAGACACATACAAAGGACTACAGCATGTGCAGCTTTACCAGCTTCGGGCAGGTGCATGACTGGTGGCAGTGTGTCCTCAAGATCTGAGTAAAACAATGTACATGCCATTTACAAAATTAGTTCCCTCTCAGTGCTTAAAACCAGCATCTTAGTTTCACACCACTGTTTTCATTAGTCCTACAAAATAAAATGCAAGTCCTACAAGAGATGCAGGAGTGCAGCAAGTTGAAGTGGGTGTGAAGAACTGACCCTCTCAAGTGTCAGGCCAAAGCCCTGGTGAGGCAACCAGGCCACCAGCAGAGCCCGTCCTGCACAACAGAGCCAGCCAATTATGTCAAGTCCATCAATACCAGTTAACAGGAGACACAGGTGGCAGAGGACAAGACTAAAGAGGATGAGGGATGCCATCCAACCCCAAGTGGACAATCAAAACACAAATATAAATCTATTGCAAGGAGAAAAAAAGAATTTGAGAACCTTAGAAGATAGCAACCAAATGTGATGTTGGGTCCTGTTTGGCTTCTGATTTATCAAAAAAGACATTTATGAGATGTAATAGTTAAGGTTTGTGTCAACTTGATTGGGCCAGGATTCTCAGCAGTTTAGCAACTTATCTAGTACTAACCCCCTATGATGATGCTGCTATTAAGTGCCATCAAGTCAGTTCCACCTCATAGAGACCTTGTATAGGGTTTCCAAGTGGGTTTGAACTGCCTACCTTGTGGTTAGTAGACCAGTGCTTATCCTACAGCACCATCTCATGATAAGATCTAATCATCTCCACAACAAGATCTGCAATGAGCAGCCAATCAATGGAAAGTAAGTTTCCTTGGGAATGTGGCTGGCACCACCTTTGATCTTACAGGCGATGCAAGGAGACGAGACGGATGGGAACAGACAAGGAGGGACCTTCTAACACCAACAAATAAGAGTGAGAGTGGACTACATCCTTTGTACCTGGGGTCTCTGCACTGTGAAGCTCCTAGATGCAGGGAAAGATTGATGCCAAGACACACAGAGACCTCTAAGGGATGTTGGACCTACAGATGCTACAAGTAGATCTTTCTCCAAAGTCAACAAAGAGAAAAAGCCTTCCCTGGCACTCTGAATTTGGACTTCTAGACTCTCAAGATGTGAATCAGAAAACCAAAAGTGAAAAACATGCTCAGCATTTCTCAAGCTGAAAGAACTAAAGGAAAAATTCGAGATTTGACTTGCAATACTGAGCACAGCCTTTGGTATGGATTGCATCTCAATGTAAAGAAAACAAAAATCCTCATCACTGGACCAATAAACAACATTCTTATCATCGGAGAAAAGACTGAAGTTGTCAAGGACTTCATTCTTCTTGGATCAGCTATCAACACTCATGGAAGCAG